AGGCAAGCTCACTGTCACTGTCTCCCGAGCCCAATGTCACTTAAGTAAGGACCAAGAAGGCAATGAAATTCATAATGTGGATCCCTATAGGTTTAAAGGTATATTCCTGGAATTCAGGATTAAGAATAATTGTAATGCATAATTCGGAGCCCTATACATACTTTAAGGATATACTCCTTGATTGCAGGGTATGGGGCTCTCTGGGAGTGAGCGCCTCCACTTGCGAGGAGTACGTTTCGGGCAATAACCTCGACGACACGCAGTGCACTCGTGCTGCTCTGGCGGCATGGGTTCAAATCTGGGTCAGTGTTGAAAAAACATCCCAAGCTTCTTACGAATACTTAAACGCAATAAGGCACAAACATCATCATTCTTTAAGAGTACCCCAACAATGGTGTAGATGTAAAGTAGGGGATCTCCTATTTCGCATCCTCCGTAGAAGCGCTGACCAATAGCAGTGGTATGAAACCCTGGGTCATTTATCAGGGGAGACGGGCATCGACATGCATGATGCCCTCCGGCCAAGCGCCGTTTGGGTTTTAGGGTTTAGGGTTTAGGGTTAAGGTTTAGGGTTTAGGGTTTAGGGTTTAGGGTTTAGGGTACAGTTTCGGGTCCTGTGGTAAGCCTAAGCCCCTGACAACTTGAGCCCGGGAGCCTATAGCCTGTTCAGCCGGTGTGGATGCATGGCGCGGTTAGGCTTGTTCTGACTCCTGCGAAGATGAAGAAGAGCGGGGTGAACTTCAAAATGGTTATTTCCCAAAATATAGGGATACCCCTTTTACACCCCAACTAGAATGGAATCCCCTTGAGGGGACACCCCCCCCCCCCCCCCCGAAGAAGCTGCACCCCCATTTTTCGGAAACCCCTCCAAAAAATGAGCTTCCCATCGTGACTTGTTGGCGGTTCAAGGTTTAGGGTTTAGGGTGTAGGGTTTAGGGTTTAGGGTTTTTGGCTTAGGGTTTAGGGTTTAGCATGCAACCCTTGCAACTTGACTACAGCTAGTGTGGCAGCTTCCCCTTGCGGTGCAGGCCCCCTTTACCACACAAACTCAGGCGCAACAGGGCTTAGGGTTTAGGGTTTAGGGTTTAAGGAGGACCGGGAGTAGCCCTTTTTCCTTTTTTAGGGTTGGGGTTCCCTTATAATCCCTATAAAGCCAAGGAGGGTACCCTTCTTATTCCTAGGTTACTCCCGGGCCTAGTTATAGGCCTATGGCCCAAGTTAGGACGCTTCTACTTATGACTCGTTTAACCCTCTTAACTCTTCTTATGCTAGGGATGACGCCTCCTTGCAGAAGGAGCACATGAGCTGTTTTTCAGGGTCTGGGGTTGGGCTTAGGGTTTAGTGCTTAGGGATGAGGGTTTAGGGTTTTGGACTTGTGGGGCCCGAGCAGAATCCAAGGTTCCGGCCGAGTTGGTCGAGATGAAGGCGCCGCCGGTTTAGAGTTTAAGGCTAAGTCTAGGGTTTACAACTATTTGATTATAAGGACCACCCAAACAATCAAACTGAGAAAAGGGTAGTGTGGGGAATTTTCTCGTTCATTTTTTGGTGTGCTCTGCAGCAAATAGTACTTCCGGGTGACGTTTGCCTTTGGACAAGGAGCCAGACCCACAAACCTGATCCCCAAACTCCAAACAACGCCTGGCGCCAGTAAAGTCATGAAACGCTTGCCGAAACGGATGTTTTTGGTACCAGAACGTCAGATCGAGCTCCGGAGTCAGGGTTTAGGGTTAAGGGTTTAGGGTACCAAGAAGAACCAATTAGAGCACCAACGCTAAAAGCCCTGAACCCCTTAAGCCTAAACCGAAGCCCCCACACCCTAAACCCTAGACCCTAAATCCCTCAACTTCAGTCCTAATAACACTAAACCACCCCCACACCCTAAACCCTAAACCCTAGACCCCAAATCCCTAAACTTAAGCCCTAATAACACTAAACCCCAAACCCTAAAGCCCAATAACCCTAACTCTGCCCATCCGGAAACCCTCACTCCCAACGCGCCTGCGGCGGGTAGGGAAGGGCCTGGGGCACCAAAACGAACCTTAAACGGGTTTATTGTGGTTCATGTACCTGAATAGGAGTTTTTAGTCCCTTTTTGGATCCCGATTATAGTACGGCACCTAATACTTAGGGTACCCCAAAAGGGATCCTAATTTTGACAACCGCCCATATACCTCAGCTGGAATTATGGTATATAGTATAGGGTAGATGACTCCAATGTTGAGGTTCATTTTGAAATTGGGGGGTGGGGTGTGTAGGGGGGGCAGGATAGGGTAGGGTTCCGGGTTCAGGGTTCAGGGTGGTCTAACATTTCGGGTTTAGGGTTTTGGGTTTGTGGTGGGGAGGGTGGGGCAGAGGTGAGGTTACGGGGGGGGGGGGGGGAGGGGCTTGGGTTCGAGGGTGGGGTAGGATATTCTCTAAATCCTAAACCCTAAACCCCGAACCCTAAACCCTAAACCCTAAACACTAAGCTGCAGGCCGAGGCACGGGCGTCCGTGTCAATCTGAGCCAATCTCAGCAGAGCGTCCGAAGAAGAGTAGCCCCCCTGGCGCTGACGCTTGGTAGCCCATGCAGTGGTACCCTTTACCCCTTATGGTTTCCTTAAAAAATAGCCAACCCCAGAAAGGGTGCCCTTATCATAGTATAGGACTATCTAGGTAGCAATCCTTAATAGGGATTTATTGTACCCTCTATTAAAATCCCTCTGAAGGGCTGTTAGTATAAGAGGGAGCATCCCAGAATATTCTAGGTGGGACTTTACTGCAACTTTAATCACTTTATAAGTTTTGGCGTTCCTCTACTTTCATGTTTCCGGAGGTAAAAAGTGAAAACTTTTCATTGGGGGGGGTTAAAGAGCAACCAAGTCCTTAGGTCTACTTCGAGTCGCATCGCCCCTTGAGGGTTTAGGGTTTAGGGTTTAGGGTTTAGGGTTTAGGGTTTAGGGTTTAGGGTTTAGGGTTTAGGGTACTCTTTTCAACCTTTCTGGGGCTCGTAGCCTTATTTCCCCGGGAAGACCCAAGGAGCACTCGGCCAGTAAGACAATCTTGGGGTCGATGTGGGACATGCTTTTAATCTCGATGCGCCCTGCACTCCCTTTTGGTGCGCTAGAAAGCCTACTTGGAGGTTCATGGGTACTTAAAATCATACTTATAAGTCTACTGATAACCTACTTGGGGGACTTAGTATCGAAATGAGTATTTTAGGACCCCCGCGAGGCGGAGACAGCAACCTTCAACTTTTAGAATTGTGGGGTTGCCGATCTTCCCTAGATCTGGAGTAGAGCCTTGTTTTAATTTTTTTGGCTTGGGGTTCCCTTATAATCCCCTTGAAAACCAAAAAGGGTGCCCTTTTTATTCCTAGGTTACTCCCGGGTCTAGTAGCCCTAAACCCTAAACCCTAAACCCTAAACCCTGAACCCTGAACCCTGAACCCTGAACCCCCTCACCATTCAGAAGAGTTTGAAAGGGCGCAGCAGCTTATGGAATCGGCTGAAGCTTACGTTTATGAACTGGATGGTGTGGTTTACCTGACCCTAAACCCTAAACCCTAAACCCTAAACCCTAAGCCCTAAGCCCTAAGCCCTAAACCCTAAACCCTAAAACTACTCGAGATCCAAGAGTGTCAGCCCAGCAGCCAAAGTCGCAAACATTGCGCCTCCCCAAGACTCCAATACCCCTCAGCTAAGGAATACTCATGAAAATACAAAAGGGTTTAGGGGTTAGGGTTTAAAAGTTTAGGGTTTAGGGTTGAGGGTTGAGGGTTTAGGGTTCCTTGTACGGCTTAAAGTAAGAATATTCCTTAAAATACAAGAGGTTTCCTTGTATGGTTTAAGGAATGTTCCTTACTTGAGGGGTATTGGAGTCTCTGGGTTGTCGGCTGGATCTTCTGATGTCCCTAATCCCTAAACCCTAAACCCTAAACCCTAAACCCTAAACCCTAAATCCTTAACCCTCAAACCCTAAACCCTAAACCCCTAAACCCTAAACCCCTAAACCCTGATGAAAAGATCTCAGCCAGCAGCGGCTGCCCATGTTTTGGGGCATCGCAGTGAAATCGCTTGTGCGGGCACCCTCGCATGCAAATAGTTATAATAATATGACTAATAATAATAATAATAGTAGTAGCAATAATAACAGTGCTAATAATATTTTAAATAGTAGTAATAGAGTTGTACATATCAAAATACCTATAGTATAGTAAGATAAACACATGGATAGATGCGGAATGTATGTGTGTTCAATGCACACACCCTGAGGGTCCATGTACCTATGTAGTATATACTTGGGCCTTAAAGGGGTTCCCATATAGTAGCTTCAGGGCCCAAGTAAACCCTAAACCCTAAACCTGAAACCCTTAGGGACAGTTCATGTTCGTCCCCAGGGTACGCGCACCATGCCTACACGCGAGGTGTCGCCACTGTAGAACTCCAGGAGTGTTTAGGGTTTAGGGTTTCGGGTTTAGGGTTGAGGACATCGACCGGCAGGCGTCAAAGACTCCTTGCTGGAATTTTCCTCTCGACAAACAACTTTAGGGGCTGGGCAATACCCTTTAACCTTTGTTGTTATATATAGTCATTTTTCAATTAAACAGGTTTGTGGTTATATATAGTCATTTTACAATTAAAAAGGTTATCCTAGCCACTGAGACAACAGTAAGCGGCCGCTCCGGAGAAAAGAAGGTCGAGTGTGTTTCCAGGCTAGGCTGCGTTTCCCTGGGGGAAGCAGCGGCAAGCCCTAAACACTAAGGAAATTGAGAAAGTATCCTGAAATGGTTGACGGTCCCATATCCTGTTCCACCTAGTCGAACAAGTGTTGTTCTTTTTTTCCTGTGTACCTACTTTCATGGTTAGTGCAATATATATCCAGACACTTTTAAGCACTTGAGGGGGCACTTGTAGACGTCAGGGTTTCTACGCCTGTGAACTTAGGGTTTCAAGTATACTTCTTTGCGGTTTAATGTTCAGATGATGGATTTAGCTTTGGGCTATGGCCTGGCTTTGCCAGGAGGAGGAGGACGAGAGCGACGGGTATGCGAAGGTGCGCCACCCAAGAGTCACAGGGTTTAGGGTTTAGGTTTTAAAGTTTAGGGTTTAATTTGCGTTGAGGGTTTAGGGTTTAGGGTTTAGGGTTCAATTATGGGAAAGCCCCTAAAATTCATGGTTCGAGGCGAGGCCCTAAGAGAGAAGGGTTTAGGGTTTCGGGCTTGGGTGCTTCTGCCGTCACCCTAAACCCTAAACTGAGTGAGGCCGGGGCCGTCGAGCAGGGCGAACGCACCGAAGCCGGCAGGCGAGGTAGCGCCCCTGCCTGAGAGGCCCCTGCCTGGGCTGTAAGCCCCTGGCTGAGAAAAAACACCCCTGCTCCTGAGTGGGAGGCCGCCTGGGGAGGGCCCTAGGCCCCTGCCTGGCAGCAACCCAGCCCAAACCTCTGACATCAGGCCCTTTCAAGCAAGTGATCCAGAATCCCAGCCAGGATGCAGCAGCGCCAAGGGCGAATGGCAGCCAGCCCCAATCCCAAACCTCTGACTTTTTGGCGCTTTTCGAAGGCATCACAACGCCACCACGCCTCCCAAGCGAGGCCTTCCAGATGCAGCATCAGCGAGGGCAAGGCCGCAGCAACCCCCATCCCAAACCTCTGACTTCAGGCCCTTCCATGAAGTCTTCCAAATCCCCAACAAGGACGCCGCATCGCCAAGGGCGAAGGCGGCAGCCAACCCCAAGCCCAAACCTCTGACTTTTTGGCCCTCCCACAAGCCCTCGAATGATAGACATCATCCCTTGCAACGCCAAGGGGCTGCGAACTTCAGGGTAAATTGATCTGCATCGATGTCGAGCTTCTAAACCCAACCAATAGATAGACAAGAGAAAAATGACAAAAGTACGATCAGAGTTCAAAAGAACCCTAAACCCGTAAAGGTTAAGGCGAGGATGGAGCGCCAGCGGGGGTGGGCTTACGCAAGTCGGGGCGCGCGCCTGGGTGCTTTCAGCACCAGCGCGCCCACTCATTGAGACACCCTAAACCCTGAACCCCAAACCCTAAACCCTTGTGTTGGACGGAGGGGAGAGGGTAGGCCAAGAAGATCATGTGCGTGCTGAAGGACCCTGAAGACTGGAAAGGGTCGCTAGAAACTCACTGGGACTTGATGCCGATACAAACACTAAGATCCAGAGCAGGCCCTTATTCCTTTTTTTTGGGGGGGGTTTCAGGTTCCCTTGTAATGCCCCTTTCAACAGAAAGGGCACCCTGTTTATTCCTAGGTTACTCTTGGGTCTGGGATGCTGATAGAACCAGGAGCAAGACTGCTTCTTCATAAATCCCCTCGCCCCAATATTAATAGCGCCCCCCCCCCTCCCCCCCCCCTCCACCTATTTGTAAATACCCCCCCATATACTATAACTTTTAGGGGGAGTGGGAAGGGGTTTTTTCTTTAGGCCTTCGTGCTGGTTTTCAACTCGCCCTCCGCACCCCCAAACCGTTTAGGGTTTAGGGTTTAGGGTTTAAGGTTTAGGGTTTAGGGTTTAGGGTTTAGGGTTTAGGGTTTAGGGTTTAGGGTTGATCCTACCCCTGTGCAGGACGACTTGCCCGATGGCAAGGCTCAGGGTTTAGGGTATGGGGTTTAGGGTTTAGGGTTTAGGGCTTAGGGTTCAGGGTTCAGGGTTTAGGGTTTAGGGTTTAGGGAGGGGTGCAGTAACACATGCATCATCATGCAGCTGTGGGTTCAGGGCTTAGGGCTTACGACCCCTATCATGATACCTTGCAAACTGTCTCATGCTAGCTCGCTCTACATGTGGCAACACCGACATTGATAAAAAGGATCTTGGCAACCCTAAACCCCTGACTCCCAGAACCCTTAAACCCTAAACCCTTTACCCAAAGTTAGCCCGAAACCCTGAGCCCTAAACCCTGTACCCTATACCCAAGGTTAGCCCGAAATCCTGAAACTCAAAACCCAGAACTTTGGCTCTTGGCCTTTAACCCTGTGCTTTGTCGCGCAGGGGTCTCCAACCCGACAGGCCAGCGTGGGTAAAATGCTTAATATAGGGGCCTTAATAATTAGAACAGGGTTTTGGGGGTTATCATTGTATATTATAAAGGGACCATGCGGGAATACTACTAGTAATTATTCCGACCCGTATAGTAAGGCTTAGGGTTGAGGGTTGAGGGCGTAGGGTTTAGGGTTTAGGGCTACAGGAATCCCACACCCTGGCCGCCTGTTAAACTACACTGGAAGCCCTAGTCCCTGAAGCCTAAAGACTCTAGACCCTAAAGCCCTAAAACCCAAAATACCCTGAAGCCTAAAATCCCTAAACCCTACATGCCCTAATCCCCTGAAAGCTTGGCGGAAGCGCCTCTGGGTCCAGTCTTACTTCCAAAGGCCCAGTTTACCCCCCCCCCCTCTTGCAATTTCAGGACTGGAGCTTAGTTCAGAAAGAGGACTTTCACAAGTTAAGCTTGGTTTTGGGTTTAATTAGGCTTTAGGGTTTGGGGCTTTGGGGTTTAGGGACTATATCAAGACTATGTATCCTACCGCATACAATGAGCGGCTGTTGCTGAATAGAGGGCCATTGGGCTCTCGAATCGTGTCGACCACATCTCAACTCAGGGGGGTTTGCTTGGAGGTTCATGGGCACCTGTAACCCTAACTATAACGGTACTTATAAGCCCCCTAAGCCCCCTAAGTCGGTGATAAGTAGACTTATAGCTGTAGCTGTACTTATAAGCCCACTAAGTCCCCTAAGTAGGTTCTAAGTAGACGTATAACTGTGGTTATAGGTACCCAGGTACCCATGAACGAGTCCAGAGCTTGAAGCAGAAGGCTTTAGGGGCCAGCTAGGGTGACGTTAGAAAAAGATGGTTTAGGGTTTAGGGTATAGGAGCTGTTGGCGGTCTTGTTACTTAAACCTTTAAGCCTATAAACCTTCAGTCCTCAACCCCATACACCCTAAGCCATTCCTCACTGCGAAGTTCCGGGTCAAGCCTTGCGTAGAGAGCCAAGTAGTCGAGTTCATGTCTATAAACCCTATACTAAACCCCAACCTCTCAGCCCCTAATCCCGGACCCTAAACCCTCAAACCCTCAACCCCCCAACCCTAAACCCTAAACCCCAAACCCTAAACCCTAGACCCTAAACCCTAAACCCTGAACCTTTCAATCCTCAGTCCGAACCTACGGCAGGAGACGGAAGCGTTAGGCACCTCGCCGATCAATCGGCAGGCCAGGGTGTGGGTCCTCATGCAACAGCTGCGAGTGGTGTAGAAGCCCTAACCCTGAAGCCTATAAACCCTAAACCCTAAAACCTGAACCCTGAACCCGAAGCCCTAAGCCCTAAGCCCTAAGCCCTAAACCCTAAAACCCTAAATCCAAACCCTAAGCCCTAAACTTTAGGCCCTAAACCTTAGATCCCTAAACCCTAAGCCCCACACCCTAAGCCCTAAACCCTAACCCCTAAACCGTAACCCCTAAACCTCTAAACCCCAAAACCCTCCACCCTAAGCCGGTTTAAAGGAGGTTCAATCAAGCTCGAGATTGAGGTCTATTTTGTTTGATCGCCTGACTTTGTTAGGGGCGAGCAGAGGTGGAGGGTTTGGGGTTTAGGGTTTAGGGTTCCGGGTTTAGGGTTTTGGGTTAGGGTTTAGGGTTGATAGAGCTTCGGGGCCTGTGGAGTTTGAGGATGAGGTCATCTGCGTGTATTAAGCCTCAAAGTCTTGGGGCTCAGGTAGAAGTTTAAGGTTTAGGGTTTTGTGGTGTAGAGTTTAGGGTTTAGAGTGTAGGGCATGGACCCTACAGACTCGATAACCCTAAACCCTATAAGCTCCCCTGGTATATCACCTTGGGTGGCTTGCGGGCTAAGATCAGTTCAGGCCCCACGGAGGCCCATGTCCCTCAGGGCCCTATGGTTTAGTTTTGAGGTTTCGTCAACCCTAAACCCTAAACCCTGAACCCTGAACCCTAAACCCCAAGCCCTAAACCCGAAACCCCCACCTCCAGGTGACTGAGGTGCACTGGCCCACCTGGGGCGCGGGCCTCGGAGAGTTCGGGTTCGTCCTCTAAACCCTTAAGCCAAGGTTTAGGGTTTAGGGTAAACTACTATTTCCACAGGAACCACCCAAAACATATACACTTTCTTCCTTATGAGGGCAATATAGGGTTCTTCTTCATTTATTATTAATTTTTTTTTTTTTTGGAGGGGGGGGGGGGGGCTCTTAAGCAAATAGCAGATTAGGGGGGTATTTGTGTCTTGTGTGATGGAGGGTCTCTCTCGATCACTCTGAGCCTAAACAATTAAATTAAACCCGGGTCTCTCTGACATGATAGTGCCTTATGGGGATCCCTTTAGTACGGAGCCTTATTTCTAGGGTTTGGGGTTCAGGGTGCATGCGCCGCGGTATCGTAGGAAGAGGTACTAGATTTTCAGGGTTTGTAGGGCCTGTACAGTCTGGGGCACGCCTCATATACCCCAAAACACTGTAATCTCAAAGGAACACCCAAAAGTTTGAAAGGGGCACCCCTGTTTGAGAAACTTCGACGCCAAAAGGGGGCTATATGGTAATTACCAGTAACTTCTTCTTCTGTGCCCTCACCCCAAACCCTAAACTCCAAACCTGAAGCCCTGAACCCCATGCCGTTTAAACGCATGTGGACCATTCGGATTCGGCAGCCTGGGGTTCATGGTTTAAGGTTTAGGGTCTATAGGGCCTGAACTAGGTATATTTGAGGATTGAAGCCCGTGTTAACATACTTGTTAGGTAGACCCTTGGGACATTTTATATTTTCCATTAGTGGGTTGAGGCTCATAGCCAGGAATATTTTTTGGAGGGTTTTAAGGACCATCCTAGCTTACAAGCTAATTTAGAGCCCTGATCTGATGACACACCCTGAACCCCTAAACCCTAAACCCTAAGCCCTAAACCCTAAACCCTAAACCCTAAGGAGGGCCCTTCCAGGGCTTGATAAAGCCCTGCACAACCCCACGCCCTCACTCCCAACATCGAAATTCATAGCCATTGAGCTTTCAAAACTGTAAACCCTAAAACCCGACTGACACCCTGAAATAGCTACTTAAGCCTGAAACCTCTAAACCCCTAAAACCCTAAACCCCAAACCCTAAAACCCTAAACCTTAAACCCTACACCCCGAAACCCCTAAAACCCAAAACCCTAACACCCTAAACCCGAATCTCCGCCCAGGAATGGAGGCCCAGAAGACTGCCTTGGGATGGGGTTTGTTTAGGGTTTAGGGGTTTAGGGTTTGGGGTTTAGGGTTTGGGGTTTAGGGTTTAGGGTTTGTTCGCCCAAGATACCCTAGCAAAGGAACATGCCTTAATTGTACTTAGGGTTTACGATCATGGGGGGTACCTTATTGGGGTCCTTAGTATAAGGGAATCCTTGTACTCGAGGGGCTGTGTTTCGTAAACCCACATATAAGAATGTCGGGTTTGGGGTTTAAGGCTTGGGGTTGAGCGTCCCTCTGTTGGTATACTCCGTAAATACAGGGGATACAGTAGACTTCTGCTGTGCCGGCATTCGAGTACGTGTGGGCATGAAGCCATTCGAACTCCGCACGGCTTCTCCCCCGCAACGCTTGCGGAAGAACTCACTCAGTTTCTCTCATCCCAGGCTAGCCTGTTTGACCTTTAAAAAGGCAAGACGCCCTCAAATAGGTCTACCTTTGCCAGGTCGCACGCTGTAAGTACCAACCTGTGCATTGCGAAGCGGCTTTTTATCAGAATCTCTGCCAAAAATGCAAAGCAAGCTACACTGAAAGGAGGTTCTGTTTAGGAGCCGTTAGGGGAACAGCTTTAAGGTGTATGCTCTCTTAGACTCCAAGGCCCAAACCCAAATCAATAAACCCTAAACCCGAGGGTTTAGGGTTTCGGGTTCCGCCCTCTGGTGGGCGACCGGAGCTTATGTCTTTTGTGGCACAGTTTGGGGTTTAGAGTTGAAGGTTTCGGGTGTAGGGGGTCAAGTAATTGCCCATGAACCTCCAAGTATGCGCACACGGTGAGCTCTCGTCTAGACGGCGTTGCGCATACCCTAAACCCTTAACCCTCAACCCTTAACCCTTAACCCTCAACCCTTAACCCTTAACCCTTACGCCCTAAACCCTAAACCCTTAACCCTTAACCCTTAAACCCTAAGCCATAAACCCTTAACCCGTAACCCTTAACCCTTAACCCTTAAACCCCTAAGCCCTAAGCCCTCAATTCGTAGCATGGTCTTACCATCGCTGTCGGGGGCCAAGTCATGCTCTCGCCTAGGTCCACGGGGACCCAAATTTCGCGGTGTTGTGATGCTCCCACCGCCCCAATCCCTAAATGAACCCTACTTAGAACCTAAACCCCTAAACCCCTGAACCCCAAAACCCCTAAACACTAAACCCTAAACCCTAAAACAAATCAACCTCCAAGTACGTAAACTCGCGACCCCAACCCCCCTGGCCGTCGCAGACTGCCTACTCAGCACCATTCGATCCAAACTTGCTGGGCCCTCAAACACAGGCATTTAGGGTTTAGGGTTTATATTATAGGGTTTAGGGTTTAGGGTTTTGGCTGCTCAGGGTTTAGGGTTTAGGGTTTAGGGTTTAGGGTTTAGGGTTTAGGGTTTAGGGTTTAGGGTTTAGGGTTTAGGGTTTAGGGTTTAGGGTTTAGGCGTCTGGCACGAAGGATGGTGTTTAGGCTAAAAGGGGGCCAGGTGTTCTCGCATTCTGGGGCTTCAGAACATCCAGTCGAAGACCTTTGAGGTTTTGAGGGCTTCAACCCTGAACCCTGAACCCTGAACCCTGAACCCTGAACCCTAAACCCTTCTCTGAGAGCCCAATGCCCCTTAATTAATGAGCATACCTCATTAAACTACGTAGGGATCCTTAGTTTGATTCAAGGCATGCTCCTTAATTCAGGGCATTGGGTTCTTTTGCTTTACGGCGAGGTGCAACGTGGGTGCGTTGATCCCGGTGGAGTGGATTTAGGGGCTCCCTAAAAAGGGATTGCTTTGTTCTTGTTGCATGATGTTGTTTCGTTAAAGGGTTTAGGGCATGTAGGGTTTGGGGTATAGGGTTTTAGGGTTTAGGGTATAAGGGTTTTAGGATGCGCCATGGGGTTTAGGGTTTACGGTCTAGTGTTGTCGGTTTGGGGATTTAGGGTCTTGGGTGATTCAAGCCCTAAACCCTCAACCCTAAAACCTAAACCCTAAACCCTAAACGCTAAACCCCAAATGGCTTGGTGCAAATGGTTGGTTGGTTGTGGACTCAGAGTCTGGCTGCTCCGCACAAGGATTAGGGCCTCAGGGATATACACCTGGAACCCTAAAACCGAAACCCCCAACCCCGGGTTTAGGGTTTAGAGTTCAGGGTTCAGGGTTTAGGCCTAGGGCCCTATACCCTAACCCCTATACCGTAACCCCTACCCTGCACCCTGAACCCGAAACCCTGAGTCTGATTCAGGCTTTAGAGCTTGCAGGGTGAGGAGGTAGAAGTGGGAAGGCATGAGGTTCTTTCGCAGCGCGGTGCACTGAAGTTTCTTCTCGAGCAAGTCCTTGCATCCCAATCGCTAGTTGTAAGGGGTGTGGAGTTTTAGGGTTTGGGGTTAGCGGTTTAGGGTTTTAGGGTTTTAGGGTTCTAGGGTTTAGAAACCCTGAATCCTAAGCCTTCAGCCCTAAACCCTCATTGCGTGGAATTCTGAGACTGTTCTCAAGTTTCGCCACAACTTCGGTTGCATCAATGCAAGTCTTTGAGGGGCCTGATCCACAGCAATGGCTTGCAAAAATCACAGTCAACCCTAAGCCCTAGCCCTAAACCCAAACCCTAAACCCGAAACCCTAAACCCTAAACCCTAAACCCTAGCCCTAAACCCCAAACCCCAAACAGCAAAGGGTTTGAGCTCAGAGAGCATGACTTAGGCTTCCGATGACTCCAGACCTGCGTCCAGGCTGTTGCACACTCCGGTAATCAAAGAGCCCAATACCCTTACTTAAGGAATATTCCGTAAATTCACACTAAGGATCCCTATATGGTTTAGGGAACATTGCTTAATTAAGGGGTTTTGGACTTTGGGTAATCCTGCTTCATGGGGTCACCCAGAGAGGATCTTACAACCCTTTAATTAAAAAGTACACCGTAAACAATATGGGGGGTTTCCGAAGATAGGGGTACCATCTTGGGGGGTCCAGTGAAGGGATTCTATTTTCTTAAGGGCATAAAAGGGGCACCCTTTTTTGTGGGATTACCCATATTGGGATCCTAAGGTGTGGTTTAAGGTATTTTCCTCAATCAAAGGGGTTTGGGGGCTCTTTGGGCATAAGGGTCTCTAGGGATCAGGGTATGAGATCCTGTACTGTCCCACCCCTAGCCCCCCCCCCCCCCCCCCCCGACCTCAAATGCAGCTCTACTCGGGTTGAGTGTTTTAGGGTTTAGGGTTTAGATCTATCTTTTTTCTTGTTGCCAGTGTCTTGTCACCTGTTTTTCACATTGCCTGCATCATACCAACTCCCTACCACCCAGATAAGGCTTAGTTTTGGGCTGAAACCCCAATTCCCAATATTGGTTTAGGGTTTAGGGTTTATGCCCCCCCCCTAACCCCAAAGAAAGGAAAGAAACAAGAAACAACCGAAGCAAGCCTATGTAAACCCACCTCAGTTTTCGCAACGCTCCACAGAACCCATGAGGGTGGGAGCCTGGCTGCTGTAGGTTATTTGCCCCATGATCCTAAACCCTAAACCCTAAAGCCTAAACCCTAAGCATGGACGCTATGAAGCAGTACGGCTGTTGTGCAATGAGGGACTGTTCGGAGACGCAGGGTCGAACTCTTAGGGTTTAGGGTTTGTTGTTTAGGGTTCAGGGTTTAGGGTTTAGGGCTTAGGGTTTAGGGTTCAAGGTTCAGGGTTGATGCTACGATGTGGCATGCTGGTTGGATACCCTGAGTATAGGGAGTCGAGTCGTACCATACAACATGGAGAACTTCGCAAGTGTCCAGCACCCGTCCCTTGACCGCATGCTTATGCCCCTAGACCAAAGCCTAGACCCGTAACTCAGCCCCTCAAATAAACCCTAAACCCTAAACCCAACGAAGGGTAGATCCCCCAAGAACCTAAGACCGAAAGTAGCAGGGAACATTTTGGGGTGTGGGCGAGCTTTTGGGAAGAATTAGATACAAGTTTAGGCGTTAGGGTTTAGGGTTTAGGGTTTAGGGATAAAACCTCGAATTCTTCGGGTCTCTGTTTGCAGGAGGTCTGCCTCGTGGAATGCCGACCGAGGACCGATCCGTCAACATTCTAGAAACAACCGGGTGCCGGAGCAACTCGTCATATGCCCTCAAAGCCCTAAACCCTAAACCCGAAACCCTAAACTCAAGCGACTACAGGAAGGACCCTCAGAAGGGACTTTAAAGGTTATTTGGGTCATTCAATGGCTACTTAGGTGTATAGGGATTATATGAAGTATATATAGGGGTTATATAGGGGGTTTAGGTTCCCTTGTAGGCCCCTTTAAACCAAAAAAGGGACACCCTTTTGATTCCGAGGTTGCGTAGGGCTTGGGGTTTAATACCTGGCCGTGAGTTCGCATCAACTGTATAGTTTTGGGTTTCAGGCGGGTTTAGGGTTTAGGGTTTGTGTTGGGTTCATGCAGAAGTCCCACGGCATCATTGGATGTAGACCTGCGAGGAGTATCGTCGAACAAGTCAGCAAACAAGGAGCCGCGAACGTGAACATTTCACAAGGTACTAGGACTGGTTACGGGCCCATCTCGTTTCAAGAGCTCTACGAACAAGCGCTGTCGTAGGCACTATGCCGGCGCCTACGCCTTAGCCCGAGCTCATAAGTAACACACGTTGTTGACGTTGGATATGAGTCACGGTACGAGACAGGCGGCTGATGCTGGACAGTGGCCACAGGCCAACCCTGATTTGTCTGTGTCGAGTTTGGGAGGGGCCGCTAGTTACAAGATGTTGGAGTTGTACGGGTCCCCTTAAACGGGCAATCGTCTATACAACAAGACCCTTCACCTTTTTCAAAAGTAAGGGGCTCTCCCTTTGGTGTCCATGTCTTGGGTTTCCCCACTACCCCCCTCTATACTACGCCCCTAGGTTCCCCCCTTAAACCTTAATCAGGCTTAATTACCCCTAAATAGCCTGAATTACAGGGGGAACCTGGGGGGGGGGGGTAGTAGATCAGTGGTATTTCTCGATTGTTGAGCTTATTTTGGAAGGTCGCCGAAATTACTCCTTTTGTGCACGGGGGGCGGGGGGGGGGATAAGTAATTACGTGATCCCTACCGCTTAATCCAACAGGGAGTTAATAGAGGGATGAACCTCTAAGCAAAAGCACACCGACAACTACTTGTTCTGCGATTGTCAAGAAATGCTGAAACTCGAGGTTTACCAGCAACAAGAGGTACCTTAACACACGCGTTCACTACCCAAAGAGCCCAATACCCCCTTAATTTAAGGATACCTTCGATCATACCAAGGATCCCTATTTACGGGTCCATTCCTAAACCCTTAACCCTTAACCCTAAACCCTAAACCCTAAACCCTAAACCCTAAACCCTAAACCCTAAACCCTATTCCTTAATGATCTAAGGGCTTCTGGGCTCTCTGGCTGACGTGTGCTTGCAAGACGTGGGCCTCTCCAGGCCTTTCCCTGCGCCGCGGTGCCCATGGCCGCCGTTCCAGCGGCCATGCTCCAGGTGGACTGGCTTGGGGTTTAGGGTTTTGGGGTTTAGGGTTTAGGGTTTAGTGTTTAGTGTTTAGGGTTTAGGGTTTAGGTTTGTTTTTCTTAGGGTTGAGGGTTTGGGGTTTAGGGCGTGTTGCTTGAGGCTGGAATTAAGGTTTTCTTGCCCCCGTATGTATACTTCAAGAGAAATGGGATTCTGTGGATTCTTTGTATCAGGCGTCCTGATTCAGGACCGTTAAGGACGGACCCTACATCACCTGCATATCCTTCGGCATCTTTAGAGGTAGTCGCCGTGACAGCAGGAGGCCTATAAGTTTTGAAGCCGGAGGCACCGTGTCGCATGCCGAGGGGTGTATTATGCTTTGCTGGTTTGGGTTCGGCTGTTTGTTTCGTTTGAGTTGTGTTTGGGCGGTCTTAGGGTGGGCGCGTCTTCACACTATAGTGCGAACAGCTAACCAATGCTACGCCCTAACGTTCCCCAAAAGAAGGGGAAAGATATAAAGTTGGCCCGCGGGCAGGTTCAGAGACCTTATGATACCCTAAACCCAAAGCAGCTGCAGAGGACTCCAAGTTTTGGATTCCAAATATTTGATTAGGGCAGCACTCACTTGGGCCACGACAACCCGCGAGCGCCACAGCTGTGCCTAATTCATATCTGCCTTCCATTAATCGTATAAGACACTCCCGAGATCCTAGACGCCCTACAACCCTTGGTTGTAGAATCCTTACTTGGAGGTTCATTGGTTCTAAGTATAGTTACAACTTGTGACCCCATGTTTCACTACCCAAAGGGCCCAGCACCCCTTACTTAAGGAACCTTCCCTAAATCATATCAAAACGATCTTGGGACCTCTGTGTACCCATGAACCTCCAAGTAAGCCCATGAAGGGGTATAAGGAGGAACCCCCTAGAACGGACCCTTACATAACCCGCGTAGTTTTTTTGTTGAAAGAATATGCACCAAATCCAAAATCGCAAGCAGTGTCCCCCTTAATTGTTGTGCTGAAAGAGTATGTGCCAAAACCACACATCGCAAGCGGTGTCCCGCATAGTTTTTTGCCGAAACAATACGTGCCAAAATCACAAATCGCAAGCAGTGTCCCCCTTAGTTAGTTTGTTGAAAGAGTTGTCTCCAAAATCACAAATCGCAAAAGCAGTGTCCCCCCCTGGTTGTTGTTGAAAACAACAACAAACAACAACAAACAACAACAAACTACAACAAACAACAACAAACAGCAACAAACAACAACCCACCCACCCACCCACCCCCCCCCCCGAAGGTCCCTTACAAGGGTCCCTCCTTTAGTCCCTTAAAACACCAGGCCCCCGGCGTGCAGGCGGCCGTGAAGCCAGAAGGTGCAACAGCACGTGGGGTCATACCCAGAGAGCCCCAGTACCCTCAACCCGAAACTCTAAACCCTAAACCCTAAACCCTAAACCCTAAACCCTAAACCCTAAACCCTAAACCCTAAACCCTAAACCCTAAACCCTAAACCCTAAACCTAAACCCGAACCCTAAACTAACCCTCAACCCCCTAAGCCCGAACCTTGAAACCTAAACCTAAACCCTACACCAACCCTAAGCCCTAAGCCCTAAACCACTTTCATAATTGCCAAGGAACCCGACACCCCTAAGAGCCCCTGAGTAACTGTGCGGGAGACCCACAGGTTTAGTGTTTAGGGTTTAGGTTTGCCTTACAGTAAACTCCAAGAAGTTGGAACCTGGTTTAAGGATGTTTAGAGCTGGGATTCCCTTCAGTATACCTTTGAATTTTGTGGTATGGGGATAGGTCAACGATTTGGAGTGTATTGTAAGTCATAAACACAGAGAGCCCAAAACCCCTTAGCCAAGGAACATACCTTAAACCATATGGGGTTCCTTAAAATGATTTTGCGTATATTCTTTAATTAATTGGGCTCTTTGGGAAGGATCCCTGTAAGGTTTCAAGGTAGAATTCCCTAATAAGGACGTTTACCTTAAACTATACAGGATCCATATTTTGAAGTCAGGTTCCTTCCTTAGTCAAGGGGAATTGGGCTCTTTGGGCACGGGAGCTACAGTGGTTATATGGGAGGAGTTAGGAGTTAAGGTTCTGCTTTTCAGGTCTTGTTCCAGCGCATGCTTTGGTTTCGGCTAAAGGCCGCAGCAAGAATTTGGGCCTCTAAGCGCTAGACCCGAAAGCCCTCGATCCCTACACCCCCGAACCCAAACAACCCGCACTCCCCTGAAGCTTCAAAGCCTTACAGCCTGGACACAAAACCCTAAACCCTAAACCCTAAACCCTAAACCCTAAACCCTAAACCCTAAACCCTAAACCCTAAACCCACCTCCTGAAGTCCTGAAGCCTCTTCAAGCCCTGGATCCTGGCCCTTCACTCCTAAGGGCTTACTTCCAATACCCCTTAGCTAAGATTCCTTGCATCATGTTGGGGTTTAGGGTTTAGGGTTTAGGGTTTAGGGTTTAGGGTTTAGGGTTTAGGGTTTAGGGTTTACGGGTTCGGGTTACGAAACTCCCTAATAAAGTCTGAGTCATATTCACTAGGCCCAAAGAGCTTGAGCACTATGATTCCTTAAATCATGCCACGAACCCCCTGACAACATCTGGGTGAGACCCGAATCCCTAAAACCCCAAAACCCTAAGTAATATTCCTGAATTCTAGTGACTGTGGCAGAAGAAAACGTCCCTTGCAGGCTCCAAAGACATCCCTCCAGACTGGCGAAACAAGACGACCGTGATGCTCAGAAACTTGCCCAACAAGTGCGCCCAGACTTCCAGAGAACCCCGGATCCCCTACACCCTACCAAGCCCCAAAAGCCCTAAGAACCCTAAACCCCCCCCTAATCCCCTACTTAAACCCCCTAAGCTAAACCCCTACCTCAACCCCCTAAACCCCTTCCTGAGCCCCCTTAATCCCCTACTAAACCCCCTAAACCCCTATCCTCAACCCCCTAAACCCTAAACCCTAAACCCTAAACCCTAAACCCTAACTCCACACCTACTAATCCCCGCCCGAGAACTTGTTCAGAGCTCATGCCGGAGGTGGGAGGCTTCCCGTGGGCCGAGATTTCCAAACTAAGGCTGCGTAAGATGTTTTCGGGGGTTTAGGGTTGGGGTTTAGAGTTTTAGGGTTTCGGGTCCAGGGTTCCGGGTTTAGGGCTTGTTAGGGCTTTGGGTGTATGATGCTTATTGGGGCCTGTGGGGCCTTCCTCTTTTTTTTTTTTTTTTTTTTTTTGGGGGGGGGGGGGGGTATTTTTTAGTTTAAGCTTCAGGCATATGGGGTTTGGGTTGTACAGGGTTTGAATATTGGGTGTTGTTGAGGCCTCTTCTTGGACCCTTCACATCCCCCTACTCTCCGACACGACGAAGACTTGTCACAATCGCCTGATGCTGTGCGGAGTTCATCAGAGCCGTGGCCGGCAGCCGACGTGTTGCCAATCGAAGAAGCAAGACAGTCCTTGCCGCAAAGCCCTGCCCCGCAGAGATCTTGCGACTTTAAATCGCATTCACGCAGAGGACTCCCAGTTGCAGCTCTTTCTTTTGCAACGGCTTAGGGTTGAGGTCGTTCGCTAATGCTAGGTTACTGGGGGACCGGAACCCGTAGCTCATGCAGGTACAGCCAGCAGATGCTGCTGGAGGACTTGAACACGTCCAGGGCTCAGCAGCTGAAACTTGGGGAGCGTTGCCATGCCGCCAGGTTCCCCAAAACCCCAAACCCCAAACCCAAAACCCAGAACCCAAATCCCTAACCCTGAAACTTAAATCCCTCGATGCCTAGTTGCCTGTAAGTCATTCCGTTTTACGGCTTGGAGCTCGGGCTTGAGTCGGCTCTTGGGCACCTACAGGCTAGAGGTCTTCGGGATTTCCTGAAGCCCGAAACACCTCAAGTCCTGCATGACATACTTGAAGGTTCATGGTACTTACTGACCAATTATAACTGTACTTATAACCCCACTTATAATACCCCTAAAGGGCCTTATAGGGGTTATCCCTATGATAAGTAGGGTTATAAGCGCAGTTGTAAGTGGCGATTAAGTCCCATGAGCCTCCAAGTAAGTCATTCCGTTTTACGGCTTGGAGCTGGGGCTTGTCGGCTCTTGCGCACCTACAGCCTAGAGGTCTTCGGTTTAGGGTTTAGGGTTTAGGGTTTAGGGTTTAGGGTTTAGGGTTTAGGGTTTAGGGTAAGTCCCACGCAGCTTCAGACCCAGAACTCGAGATCCCGAACACCAAAGGCACCCCACATGAAGTCTCGAGATCCTGCAGGTAAGCCCCTACCCAAAATAAGGCCCCAGAAAAGCTTCTTGACAGCTGCCTTCCACTTTATGGCTGTGTCTCGGTGGCCTTTCAATAACATATTCACTACCCTGCCGGCTGAATGTCCGAGTTCCCTTCATTAGGAATCTTGATCATGAATTAAGGCTATATGGTGGGTTTCCGAAATTGGGGTACCTTATTGGGGTCCCTATTCTACGAAAATGCTACTATTTGGTGTCTGTTTAGGGTCCCCTATTTCGTAAACCCCCCCCAATATTCCGGAGTTTTTAAAAGGTTATGAGGCTCCCCTAAACCCTAAACCCTTCCTCTGGCCTGGAAGAGCTGTTGAGGTCGGGCTTTCTGGGAACTTTTGATTTCCTGTACCTGCCGATCGACCCGGAGACGAACGCGCTGGGGCCTTTGACTTGGGGTCTTGGTTCAGGGCCCCCAAAGCCCTTAGGGCCTAAGAAACCCTAAACCCTAAACCCTAAACCCTAAACCCCAGCTGAGGGTCTGGGAGCCCCAAGCTCTGCAGGACATAAGCCCCCTCCAAGAGCTTCGGGTAGGGCCTCGGGTGCAGTGAGTCGCGTAGGGGCTTGGTGGTATTCGGAGAGTGCTAGCTCCCCCCCCCAAAAAAAAAAGAAAGAGAAGGCACACCTTTTTTCGGAACCCCCCCCATGTTTACAGACTTCTTAAAGGAGGGCAGTTCAAGGGGGGTAGGTACTTAGGGAGCCTTAGGGGAGCTTTCGGGAGCCTTAACTTTAGGGGAGCAAACGCTTAGGGAGCCTTAGGGGGAACCTTGGGTCACACACCCCCCTTGAGCGCCCCTCCCTCACCCAGAGAGCCCAAAAGCCCTTAACTAAGCAATATTCCTTGAACCATATAGGGGATCCTTAGTATGATTTTAAGGAATAGTCCTTAGTTGAGGGGTATTTAAGAAACCGAGAACACGTGATAGGAATCGCGGCTACTGCTTCATCAACTTTACCGACCCCAGCTTCGTGCCCGGCCCAGCGAGCTGGAGAGTTGGGTTTAGGGTTTAGGGTTTAGGGTTTAGGGTTTAGGGCTTAGGGCTTAGGGCTTAGGGCTTAGGGCTTAGGGCTTAGGGCTTAGGGCTTAGGGCTTAGGGCTTAGGGCTTAGGGCTGCGGGCTGAGGGCTGAGGGTTGAGGTTGCTGCAGTCTGGGTTTGGAGTTCGGGGCCTTAGGGCCCCTGAACCCTAAGGCCTAAACCCGAAACCCCTGGACCCTAGAAGTCCTGACCGTAAACCCTAAACCCTAAACCCTAAACCCTAAACCCTAAACCCTAAACCCTAACCCTAAACCCTAAACCCTGAACCCTAAACCCTAAACCCTAAACCCTAAACCCTAAACCCTAAACGGCCCTAAACCCTAAACCCTAAACCCTACACTTTTTGGGGTGGGGGCGGGGGGGGGGGGGGGGGGGTGACTTCAAAATCGACCCTAGAACCCGGCGCCTCAATTTCCTCTAGGCTGCTGAAGAAACTTAAGGTTGAAGTTGGGGATGTTCCTCCTTATACTAACAGCTCCTTAGTGGGGATTTTAGTGCCCCCTACGATAACCCCTATTATGGACTGTTAGTACAAGGGGGAACATCCCAACGTTTAAGGGTTTAGGGGTTGAGGGCTTAGGGTTGCCAAAGCCCATGCGGGGAAAGCCAGAACCTCATGGCTTTTGGACCTGCGGTTTAGGGTTTAGGGTTTAGGATTTAGGGTCTAGGGTTTAAGTTTAGGGTTTAGACGTTGCTGGGTAGGACCTCGGGACATTCAACAGTTTTCCTTCCCTTGCTTTTTAGGGGATCTCATGTAGGAGTAGTCTCAGAGGGCTCCATGGGCTCGAGTTGACAAGTAATCCTAAACTCCCCCCCCCCCCCCCCCCCCCACCGATTCTCTAAAGCCCTAAGCATCCCTAAACCCTAAACCCTCAATAAGCCTTATCCCTAAACCCTAAAACCTGGGGGACCCCAAATCCTAAGCCCTAAGCACCCTACCCCCTAACCACCCTAGCCACTAAACCCGAAACCCCAAGGAAGCGCAACCCCTAACCATCCTACACCCTAAACGCCCTAAACTCTAACCACCCAAAACCCTAAATCCTAAACCCGAAGGAAGCCCAAGACCTAACCACCCTAAACCCTAAACACCCTAACCAAAAAACCACCCTAAGCCCCAAATCCTAAACCCTAAGGAAGCCCAAGACCTAACCACCCCAAAACCTATAAACCCTAAACCCCAAACCCCAAACCCTAAACCCTAAGCCCTAAGCCCTAAACCCTAAACCCTAAACCCTCGCGACTCAACAGGCTTGGATGCTGAAGTGCACATACGAGGGTCGGAAGATGGGCAGGCCGCATGGGGATCCTAGGGGTGGCCACTTGGAAGCCAACTTGTGGCTGTGTAAGTGGGGTTTAGGGTTTAGGGTTTAAGGTTTAGGGTTTAGGGTTTAGGGTTTAGGGTTAGGGTTTGGGGTTTGGGGTTTAGGGTTTGGGGTTTAGGGTCTAGGTTTAGGGTTTAGGGTTTTCAAGGTTTAGGTATTAAGGTTTACTTGGAAGCCCTTGAGACTTTGTAAGTAGGGTTAGTAAGTAGGGATATGGCGAGTCATATAGGGTTTCTAGGGGGTACTAAGTAGACTGCCTAAGTCAAAAGACCTTCTAAGAAAGGTTTAGGGTGATCCCAAACTTTATGGTTCAGGGCTTTATGGAAACTAGGGGATTCAGGACTTAAGTAAGGTTTAGGGTTTAGGTGTTTAGGGCTTGGCACTTAGTTAAGGTTTAGGGGTTTGGGAATTTACGGGGCTTGGGACTCATTTGAGGTGTAGGGTTTAGGGGTTTAGTCTTTGAGGTCGAAGTCGGATTCCCGAAGCCTACATCCCAGTCAGCAGCGACAAGGAAGTAGGCCGCGAAAGTCATCGACGGACAACTCAGGCCTAGGACCGAGAGTAGGCCCTTCTTCCCTTATTTTAGGGTTTAGGTTCCCTTATTACAAGCCCCTTGAAACCAAGAAGGTCAACTCTTTTTGATTCCTAGGTTACTCTGGGGTCTAGCCCTAAGCTGAGTTTAGGGTTGAGCAACTTAGAGCCACAGTTGCCAGAAGTACCCTTCCGTTTTTGTTCACGGGTCTGGTCGCCCCCTAGAAACCTCCTTCAACCCCATGGCGTTCTTGGGCTGCTGGACTACGTACACCCTACACCCTACAAAGCACACTTGGGAGATTCACCCTTATACCAACAGTCCTGTTATAGGGATCATAGTACCCCCCCCCTACTACAATCTCAATTAAGGAACATCCCAAAAAAGGGCACCCCGCACCCTGAACCCTCACCCTGCCATGTGTGCAAGCCAGGTTCAATTCGGACAAGGTGGTGTTCGCTTCCCAGATCCCTGCGGCTTTTTGGGCAGTGGTGTTCTTTTTTTGGGGGCTTTCGGCCGAGAGTTCAGGGTTTGGGGGGTTTGGTGTTAGGGCCCGATATACCCCTCATTTATGGCTTTTATTCTGGCACAAAGCGGATTCCCCTCTAATTTCAGAAATATTCACATTCTTAAGGAGTGAGAACCCTGAGTTGCGAACCTGGAAGCCTCATCCCAAAACCCCTTAGCCTAAACTTAAACCCCCCTAAACCCTAAACCCCAAACCCTAAACCCTAACCCTAAACCCTTGGTTTAAAGAGGGACTTTGTTGCAGCACATGGCCCCCTACCTCTTTCATCAGGTTTCCAGAGTTCAGGGGCTCGGAACCGTTTCCTACACCCGCAAGCCCTGAACCCCCTAAACCCTAAACCCTTAACCCTAGTAACCTAAAGCCCAAAGTCTTGGGATGTCCCTCCTCATACTAACAGTCCTTAATAGGGATTATCGAACCCCCCATCATAATCCCCATGACGGTCCCAACCTAAGTCCCAAAACCCCCGTAAGCCCCAAGGGAGAAGAAACTAGCGCCGGCCGAGGTCAGTCGCCCCCGCAGCACTGCAGGGTTTCGAGGCCATCTGGCTAACACGGTGGTACCTAGGGTGGTACCTAGGGTTTAGGTACCTAGGGTTTAGGGTTTAGGGTTTAGGGTTTAGGGTTTAGGGTTTAGGGTTTGGGAAGACTTGACCCTCTGACTTTTTGCAAGGAGTAAACCGTAATTCCCGGGTGTGAGAGTCGCTGGGTACCCTGTCTGCTCCTTTGGGGTTTGGGCTTCAGGGCTTCGGGTTTAGGTTGGCTCCCTCATTTTGGATATATATATATATATCTATATATATATATTTTTTTTTTTTTTTTGGGGGGGGGGGGGGGTGCCTGTTCTAATATGGGCCCGTATAGTTGTGTTATGTAGCGAAAGACCCTTCTTGAAGGCATGCGTGACCATGTTGACCATGTCCAGGCTTCCTTGTAGACTCCATCAAACGAGGAGGTCTCTTCTTTCTCCTGGAGATTTATAGGGTTCTTAAGGGAGGGGGGTTCAAGGGGGGTATGTGACCCAAGGTTCCGTCATACTCCCTACGACTCCCTAAGGCTCCCTAAACTTTGCATCAGGTTCCCTAGGTACCTACCCCATGAACCCCCTCCCTTATGAACCCTATACGAGATCTCAATCTGGGGTGGTTTGTGTTGCTCTGTGGCGAACATGCTTTTGGAGATGGCAGGAAGGTATACCTAGTTGAGAAACAAGGGTGTTGAAGAGTTGACGGCCCCCATGTAGGTAGCCCGCTACTATACAAACTATAGTAGTTCAGGGGCGAGTAGCCTAAATAAGTTCTCGTACGTACAAACCAATTCAGAGGCTCTAAACCTCTCAAGCCCCAAAGCCCAAATCCCCCAACCCGAAGCCCTAAACCTGGAAACCCTTTCTGCGGTTGGGGGTTTTGCCAAACGAGCCGCTACCCCTGTGCTTAACCGCCCATGTGCCGTGAGTTTGCACGGTGCGGGTGGCACGGTCCTCCGTGAAAAAGCTGCCGGGTACTGCTTACCGGGCGCCGCCAGGGTTGGCGGAACCCTAAACCCTAAACCCTAAACCCTAAACCCTAAACCCTAAACCCATTGGTGACAGGGGTGCACATCTGGGTCGCGAACGGTTCTGTTCTAACTTGCGGGGGTTGAACTTCCTGTGGCCATCCATGCCAATTCGCTTGCCAAGCCGGTAGTAGGGTTTTAGGCTTTTAGGGTTTAGGGTTTAGGGTCAAGGGTTTGTACACTTAAATTGGAATACCTACCTTGGGATGTTCCCCCTTCTAAGAGGGATTCCAGAACCCCCTCCCCCCCCTATTAGAATCCCTACTATACAAGGGGGAGCTTCCCAATATATACCTGCAGTTCAAAAAGGCTCCCACATCATCATAAGGTGCTTTCCTAAAATTCGGGTGTCCTGCAAGGCCAACTATGCCCACTATTCCACTGCGCGGGTTAACCGCCAGCTGCTCAGCCCTGCATCCTGCACGCCAACTGAGAGCCCTAAACCTACATTCCTAAGCACACAGCCCTGGTCGTACTCTAGCCCTGCAAGTCCTAAGCTACCTCCTAAACCCGTTTCACTTCTTACCTCAGTGGGTACATATCTAGATAGGTGCTGATGGAAATAGGTACCCGACAGGCCTATTCCTAGGACCCAGAGTACATAGGCCCTCATTCCATTTGTTAGGGTTTCGACTCCCTTACAGCCCTCTCTAATCAAAAAGGGCACCCTTGTTATTCCTAGGCTGCTCTTGGGTCTACAGGTGTTTAGGGTGGATTGGGTTTAGGGGTTTCGGGTTTGGGGTTTAGGGTTTTGGGTTTAGGGTTTTGGGTTTAGGCTTGAGAGGGTTTGGATGGTCCAGATTCTGTCTGGTAATTTGGGGCTGCTCAATTCCAGAACTGTGCCATACATGGATCCTGAACCTTAAAGGGATCCTTGAACCCTACATGGACCCTTAGGGTTTAGGGTTTAATTAAGGTTTAGAAGGTTTAGGGTTTAGGGCCGAGTTTCTCAGCACGAAGGAGATCCGGTAGTACGGTTCAGACGAATGTGTAAGGCCACCGAAGGCGTGCTTGACGCTAGGGTTCAAGGTTTAGGCTTTAGGGCTTAAGCCAGTAGAGCCTAAAGCCCTAAACCTTAAACTAGCTGATGCCATGGCTGCACACCCCCCTTCCCTCGAAAGGCCTGAGCGTTTAGGGCTTTTGTCTTCAAAGCTTGGACTACAACGGCGCGCTGGTCTTCAAAGCTTGGACTACAACGGCGCGCTGCCTTGAAGGTATCTGCCCTTGAGACATCCAACCGCTCCAACACCTTCCAGACCTGATATCCCCGAACCCTACTAAATGTTCGAAACCCTAAGCCCGAAACCCCAAACTCCAAATTCTCTAACGCAACCCCGAAGTCCCAAACCCTTAACTAGTAACTACCCCAAGAAAATGTACACAATTTCCCAAATCTGAACCTCAAACCTCAAAACCCTAAATGCCCTAAAACCCCGAACCCCCGAAGCCCCAGACCATAAACCCGAAATCCTCAGTGAAAGACCTTGGTTTGTAGGGTAGGTAGCCTTTACTCTTTGTTGGGGTATGATAAGCCCTGTATAATCCCATTGGCCCAAAAGGTCAACCTCCAAATCACCCTAGAAATACTGGACAGCTAAGAAAATACCGCCCCCGAAGCCCGAAACCCTAAACCCTAAACCTTAAACCCTAAACCGCGAACTGCCGAGGTGGCGACCCCTCCACGCGGCCCCTGTTCCTCCGAGAGCCTGTTCCTTACCGGGCTTTGGGGGTTTTAATGGGGAACCCATTTGAAAACCCTCAACCCCAAACCCTAAACCCTTAGGGAGTTTAAGGTGTCTTCGGGGGCTTAGATGGGTTAGGATTTGGAGGGTTGGGGTTTGGGTTGCGTCATAGGATCCTGTGCAGACACGCTCCCCCAAACGAACCGCCGGATAAAAGATCCCTAAAGCCTCATGAAACCCGAAACCTCATTGGGGGCTCGAATATCTCTGAGCGGTTTTGAAGCTGTGGTGGAGGGCTTCAGTTGGGATCCCAAAATCTATATAGGGGTTTTGGTTTGGGTGTAGGGTTTAGGGGTGTTAAGTATCTTGCCAACGCTAAGCCCTCAGACTTCTTCATGTAAATCGACGATGGACATAGACCCAGCATATGGAGATTGTACACATCGCTCTTGGCTCACCTCTATGGCGCGGAATGCGAGGAATCGAATGAGAACTCTTTCAGGTTCATAGGTAATTCTCAGGTTACATGTACCTTAGGGAGGGTTATAAGCCTAAACACAATACCCTAAACCCTAAACCCGTCTTACAACCACACATGATCCTCCAAGCTGTTCGGGTTTCTGACCTTTCAGCGCTGTGCGAGATGAAGGGCTTCTATCCTGCTATGAAGCCGAGCCTGAAAGCCCTAAACCCTCACCCTAAACCCTATATAAACCCTAAACCTTAAATCCTAAACCCTAAACCCTAAACCCTAAACCCTAAACCCTAAACCCAGGGTTGCTGGTGAGGTGTGCGGGGGCTGTCACGCAAGACCAGCAAAGACGGCGCGGGGGCAGGCGAACGCAGAGTATCGAGCTTAGGGTTTAGGACCCCAAGCCTACTGACAGTCTCTGCCTAGAAGTATGGGACAGTATAGAGGCTAGGGTTCAGGGTTTCGGGTTTCGGGTTTCGGGTTTCGGGCCAGATTTTTCCTGATTGCTCAAATTTCAGGTCTCTACCTTCAAAAAACGCATGCTCAGACTCTGTATGTGATCTGAGACTTTTCCTTGATGATGAAGATGTTCTTGGAGGCTCTCATAGATCCTTGCCTTCACTCGGTTCAGGGGTTAATATACGGGTCGGAATTATTTCTAATAGCATTCCCTTGTGGTCCCTATATTATACTTATAATATCCCCCAAAACCCCATTCTAGTTATTAAGGCCCCGATATTAGGCATCTGGGTTGAGAGTTCAGGGATTCGGGTTTAGGCAACACAAGATCTCATGAACAGGTGTGGCCTGAACACTGAACCCTACAACCTGAACCCAACACCCAACCCCCCCCCCCCCCCCCCCCCTGCCCCCAACACCACAAAACATGAACTCCTGGTCCTAAGCCCCAAAAGCCCGAACCCCTAAATCCGTCAACCCTAAACCCTGAACCCCAAACCCTAAACCCTAGCCCAGCACACTCCCAACTGCTCGAACCAGGACCTCAGGACCTCAGATAGTCCGAACAAGCCTAGAACCCCAGAGTAAGCCCTTATTCCCATTTTATTTTTAGGGTTTAGGTCCCCTATAAGCACCTTTTACCCAAAAAAGGGCTCCCTTGATACTACTAGCTTGCCCTTGTGTCTAGCAGCTCAAGTAGTTTAAGGGAGTACTGGCATGGATTTAGGGATGTTTGCGCTGCTACCTATTTGACTCCACGATGGTGTCGAAAGTGGGCAATAGAGCATCACACCACAAGAAGAGTCCATCTAAGGAAAAGTTCTTTGCCAAGCTATGTTTCATGATCTGAGAGCAAGTGGCGGGGGAGGGCTTGTCTTGAGTCCCGTGTAGGGGGGCTCTCTGCACCCTAAAACATTGTTTGGGGTCGAGAACTCGAGGTTCTAGTTTAGAAGGGGGGGGGGTGGGTGGTGGGCGAAGGTTCGTTGAAAAACCGCGCACTGAGGGGAAAGGTTACCCTTTGTAGATCTGTGAAGAGGTGGAAGACCTAAACCCTAAGGGAGGTTTTGTTCTGAAATCTTGTAGTGTGTCGCAGATTGTTCATGGGGCATCGAAGGGCTTGCAGAAACCCAAGTCCTCCAACCCTGAAGCCTAAAACCTCGTCAGAGTCGGAATCCAGAGGTGCATTGGATAAGCAGGCAGACCCTAAGCCCCTAAACCTCAAATCTGTAAGCACTATACCCGAATTCCCTAAACCCTAAATCCCTCAACCCTAAACCCCTAAACCCTAAATCCTTAAACCCCTACACCGTAAATCCCTAAACCCCCAAAACCCAAAACCCTAAACCCTAAACCCCTAAATCCCTAAACCCCTAAACCCCTTAACCCCTCGACCCCTAAACCCTAATTCCCTAAACCCTTAAGCACTCAATCCCTAATCCTTAAACCCAAAATCCCTAAACCCCTAAACCCTACACCCCTAAAGCCTAAATCACTAAACCCCTAAACCTTAAATCCCTAAGCACTGAACCCAAAAATCTTAAGTCCCTAAGCACTAAACCCTAAATCCCTAAATCCTAAATCCCTATAAGCACTAAACCCTAAGTCCCTAAACCCTACACCCCTAAACCCTAATCCCTAACCCTAAACCCTAAACCCCAAACCCCTAAGCACAACAAACCCTTCCATCAAAAAGGCGGAGTCAGGGCAGCCTCATCGACATCGCGGCGCGGCAGCAGCGGAAACAGCAGGCCGGAAGTTGCCATTCATGAAGAGGGGCCTTTTCGAAAGTTTAGGGTTTAAGGGTTTAGGGTTTGAGGTTTAGGGTTTCGGGTTTAGGGTTTCGGGTTTAGGGTTTAGGGTTTAGGGTTTAGGGCCCAATGCCCCTTATTGGAGGACTACCTTCACTCTAACATAAGGCGCCCTATATAGTTTATGAGGAATATTCCTTAGGAGGTGTTGAGATTTCTGGGTTACGGGTTCAGTTCAGGGCTGAAGTAAAGCTCTGTGCCCACAAAGCTTGCACAAAACCAAGCAGTTGAAGTAGTGTGTAGGGCTTGCTGCAGTAGATGCTTCTAGGACTTTCGCCAGACTCACGAGAAGTGAAAGCTTGCCGTTGCAATCTGGAGTTCACATGCCTTTTCCGACTTCTGTTAGATCCCCGAAGCCCTATGAACCCGAAACCCGAGTAGAAGCACAGATGCTGCTCAGGGTGTTCTGTTTGCCCTAAACCCTTAAACCCTAAGCTCCAAACCCTAGACCTTTAAGTTCGGTTTAGAAAAAGGTTCCCCCTAAACCCTCAAACCTAAACCCTAAACCCTAAGCTCCAAGCTCCTAGTTGTGAGTCGAGTTAGGGGGCTCAGGGTTTAGAGCCTCGGCTGCCTTGTTTGTAGCACCTGCTGGGGAGATGTCGGGCTTTGTCTACTATTGGCTTAAGAACCCCAAAAAAGGCAGTGTTCTTCCTTATAAGGGTAATGTCGGGATATGATTCTTGTTTTTTTTTTTTTTTTTTTTTTTTTTTTTTTTTTTTTTTGGGGGGGGGGGCTGGACTGGAGGGGGGGAGGAGTTCAGCAAATAGTAGTTGTGGAGTCACACACACTCTTTTACCTTTGCCTGCCTGGGGCAGAACCAGCTAGAACAGTTTAAGGCCGCCTTTACCCCCTGCGAGGTTTAGGGATTTAGGGTACGTCTCAAGATCTGGGCGTAGACCAGCAGAGCACAATACCCCTGAATTCAATACGCAGTTTCATTTCAGGGTGCACTGTTTAGGGTTTGGGCTTGGGGGTTGAAAGGGTTTAGGGTCTTTGGCAGGTTTTCATGAGCTTCAGGCAGGTCCGGGCATCACCCTCCGCCAACCACTCGAAGTTTTGGGGGTTGGGGCTGAGGGTTTAGGACTGAGCCCTGGAAACCCTCAACATCTCTACGCCCGCTAAGCTGCATCTCCACAAGCCACCGCAAGCCCGATGCCCTAAATCCTAGACCCCAAGCGCCAAATCCCATACCCTGACCCCTGAACCCTGATCCAAAGCGATTCCGCTGACTCTTTGCCGGACAGGTCCCTGAGCCTGCCACTCAGCAAGCGCACCAACACTGCTGGTAGGGTGTTTAGGGCGCTCCCGTTTAGGGAGGTTAAGGGTTTAGGGCTTACAGTCATAGTGTTCCACTCAACGGGGTATCCCCAAGTCTCCCTACTAACGAGGGATGAGATTCTTGAGGGTTTAATTTCTGGTGGTTCAAGGGTTTACTAATTTACCCTTCACCGAAGGGCCCCCTTACTCTTCCAACGATCTTTATGCGACTTCTATCCCAAGACCCTAAACCCTAAACCCTATGTAGACTAGAAAGGGTACGGGATGTACCTGGCTAAACCAGGATGGGATTCAGAGTTCAGCGTTCTGGGGCTTGCACAAGCGTATCTGTTCATAGCATCTTTCGGTCGTTGGGGAACTTCAAGTTCTCATAAAATATAGAAAATAGGAAGATGGCGTCCTTCCTGTGGTAACCTCAGTCAAACTTCTTTAATTTTATGGCTCGTGCTATGTGTCAGACTTCGTGCCAACAGGGTGTAGGGTTGAGGACCTATGACGATCTCGAGTAGATTGCAAAGCTGTGCCGGCCAAAGTCTTTCAGCTGTCCTGACCGGTCCGATCCCATAGCTGCTGGCCCAAAGCCCAAACTGCATGCTGCAGCGGTTTCGGGTTAGGGCGTAGGATTGATTAGCATTGCTCCTGTTTGAGCTGATGGGGAAGGGGCACCACAAAGGCAAGGGCAAGAAAGGCAAAGGCAAGGGAACAACGTCTGCTTGGGACTGCGACAAAGTTGTTACAGAGGTTGCTCGCTGCCTGTCTTCAAGCCGCGAGGATCGCTTGTTTGTCGTGCTGGTCTTGTCGGGTGCGCTCAATCCTGTACATCGCGGGCACACCGAGATGCTGCGTCGCTCCAAAGAACTTGTAGAGCAAGTTCGTTCCGTGGCAGGCCGCGCGGTGGTCGTCGTAGGCTTCGCCCTAGCGCCGTCAAGTGAGTCCTATGTGAACCGGAAGCTTGGCTTTCAGGCCATCAGCCTTAAGGAGAGGGTCTTCATGTGCGAAGCTGCATCACTTTCTGATCCACTCACTTGCGTTGTTCCCTTTGGCTTTGCCAGTGGACAGCGGACCGCAGACCAGATGCGGCCCTGCTTGGACATGCGACTGCGTGGTGCTCTCGAGCACTTGGGCCCCGTGGACTTCGACTTTGCACGCGACTTGGCCATCCTTCCCGTCTATGGCTCCGACTACCTGGTGACTTAGGGATACTTGGTAATAATGTTCATTTTGTTTGGGTAGTATACTTCCTAAGAAACAGCTCAAGTTGTAAGTTTTGCTAGGGTTCCAAGTTCCGAATAGGTGAGATGCCCTCAGACTGTGCGCACGCCGGCCCTCATCACCTGCCGGCAAGATGAGGACGACACCGCCCAGGTTGCCAAGCAAATCGTGGCAGCCGAGTTCCGGCCTCACCCTTCCTTTCATCTCCTGGAAGTGGAGGCTTGGCAGTAGAGTATAAAGCCTTTACAACCTTTTTGGTGTAATGTAGTCCCCTTGTAATTCCCAAAAGGTTATCCCTTAAGTTCCCTTATAGCTACTGGACAACTAAGGAGGCGGGTGCGATTCCCGACTTCAGCTCAAAAGCCGTGCGCAAGGCCCAGGAGGTGCTCCTCCAGGCTGCGCGTCTGCCCGAGGCAGCCGTGATAGACGCCTGGAGCTACCTCCACCGAGCTTTACATCCCGAGGTCTTAGGGCTCCTGGGCCTAGATCTTCCAAAGTAGCTTATAACTAGGGGAAATTTCATACAAGAACCATATGTGGGGTTGTTTGTCGTGAGTTTAAGGCCTCTTCCGAAGTTAGCTCTTTTGGAAGATCTGGGGGGTGTTTTCCTGGGTAGGCACGCGGCCCGAGGGATAGTTATTTTTGTGTACTTATTGGTTTAGGTTTTATGGTTTAGGGTTTAGGGTTTAGGTTTTTGGGTTTTGAGTTTCGGGGGCCTAGTTGCGCTTGAGGGTGGCAATGCAGTTAATGCCTGACGTGTGCCAGAGAAAAAACACTTGCTGATTTGCCCGCAATGCCCCAAACATCTTCCGAAATAGCTGAGCTGAGGAAATACGCCTTAAAAAAACCAGGATAGTCGACAGACAATTAAAGGATTCCTAAATGAAGCAATTTTGGAAGATATGGCGTTTTGCAGGCGCGGCTCCATCCTCCTTCCTACTCTCATGGGTTCCGAACACCTTCAACCTTATAAACTACACAACCCCTCTAACCCCCACAAGCCTGATAAGCCCGAAACCCTGGAAACCCTAAACGTTCTAAACCGGGCCTATAAAAAGCTACACAATTACCAAACAAACGAGGGAGAGGCTTGCCCCCCCCCCCCCCCACCCCCCCCCCACCCCCCCCCCCCCCCCCACCCCCCACCCCCCCCACCCCCCCCCCCCACCGCCCCCCCCCCACTGCCCCCCCCCCCCCCGCCCCCCCCCCCGCCCCCCCCCCGTCCTTCTCACGGGTTTAGGATCAAGGTGTTTTGGGCCTTTTGGGTTTGCAGGTCGTCAGGGTTTAGGGCTTAGGGCTTAGGGTTAGGGTTTAGGGCTTTGGGTTTAGGGGAGCTGAGCTTGGGAGCTTGGTGAGCTATTTTTGTGAGGACGCAGGGTGTTGAGGTCTTACCCAGGGACCTCCCATACCCCTGAATTCTGGAATATCCGATGAAATCCCTAAACCCTAAACCCTAAACAATTAAGGGAGTATCCCTTAACCTTTAGGGCCCAAGTACATACTACATAGGTACATGGACCCTTAGGGTAAAGGATTATCCCTTAAGATAATGATAGGCTTGAATCTTGTCGCTGTGCGCCCTGAAGGGAAGTACAAGTTAATGACAGGGGGGATCTACGGGCATTTGGGTGGTTGTCAAAACTATGATCCCTTTTGGGGTACCCTACATAAATCTTAGGTGCCGTATGAAAGTAGGGACACAAAAAGGGCCCATAATTTTGACAACCACCCATTTGGCTTGGGGCCTTTGGCATGTACGGTTTTACGCGAAAGCCCTGCACACAACTTGGCAAACCGTCCTCCCAGGGGCGGCTACAGCAGCTTTCCTGCAGGCACAGGCTGCTCGTTGACCGGGAAGACATGCGACAAGCAGCTGCTGCGCAGAATCCTCCCCCCCCCCCCCCCCCCCCCCCCCCCAATTCTAGCTACAACTTGGTGGAACTGGGTACCAGGCTACCTAGTTCCTTATTTGATGTTCTTTGAAGCCACCAAATTACGTACTTGCAAAAAGCGAACTGTCATTGATTCTCTAGGGCACTTGCTGTTGGACTTTTCGTCTTGAGGATTGGATGGCAAAACCTTGGTTACTGGTCTTCCAAACCAGCTTGACTAAGGAATCTTCCGCAAGATGCATGGGGGTTGTCATGATGCTGCTAAGGAGCATGTATTCTTGATACAAGCTTTGTAATTGTTTGAACGAATTTCCGAAGCCGCATATTTATTTACACGTGAATGATGAAGCTATTTCCCAGTGAGATATTCTCATTTGGCTAAATCCCTACACGTGGGGGGCACCCTTGCTTGCCTAACCTTAGGTAGAGGAGACATATGCTACATTCTAAGACTTATAGCCCAATCTGGGGCCCTCATCACCCTACTTCTGACGAAGCAGGCCCTACTGGCAAACCCGAGACCCTAAACCACCTCCACCGCCTAAACCCCCCAAACCCCCCCCCTAAACCTCTAAACCTCGTAACCCCGAAACCCCTAAGCCCTTAAAGCCAAATCTTGGCCTCCGAGTCTCTCCTGCTGCAGGGCCCACGCCGCCCGGGGTGGTGGAGTCAGGCCATGGTTAGTTTTTTACGCGCAAGCAGGGTTACAAGTACCCGAATCGGGTTCTAGGTAGGCCCTTGGGACATTCCGTATGTTCCCTTATTTGGTTTAAGAGGATCATCTGCAGGAATGATTTTTCAGAGGGTGTTAAGGGCCATCCTAGGCGCGAACACTATAGTTACCATACCTATAACCCTACTTGCACCTACCCGTGAACCTCCAAGTAGTAGAGGGGTCGGAATAACTACTAATAGTATTTTCTCATGGTCCCGTTGTAAGTATACTAGCATCACCCCCCCCCTAAACCCTATTACTATCATTATTCTTATTATCATGCTTCTTCTTATGGTTCTTATTATTATTATTGTTATTATTATTATCGTTCCCGCCCTAGCAAGAGATTGCACCAAGCCCAGACCCCAAGCCCGAACCCCGAACACTGAAGCCCTAAACCCAAAGCCCTACATCCCCTAGTCCATCTCCAGGCAAGAAGGGTGGGAAGCCGCCAGAGACTCGGAGCCCGAAACCCTCAAATTGATGGGATGCCACGCGCACGGCATGGGCCGAGGCTTTAGGGTGTGGAGTATAGGGTTTAGGGTCTCACTACGCCCGTGCCCACAATGCGACCAAAAACCCTTCTCATGTGGGTCTCGGAAGTGTATGGATCATCGCACAGCCTGAGCCCTGAAGCCGGGGGCCCGTGGGCAAGGGTTTGGTGAACTTCGTTGCAGTGTTCTGAGGCGGAGTCCACTCTGCCCAGCTTTCAGGGCTTTTGCTTCAGGGCTTAGGGCTTATCCGCCCTCGCTTTTCTTGTTCTGCTAGAATTCAAACCCCTCTGCAAGTCAAATAGAGCCGAAGACGAGACAAATGCCCTTTATTGCCTCCGAGGTTCCGGGGGGACCCTAACCTTAAACCCTCAACCCCTTGTGCTGCACACCCTCTATATATATATATACATATGTATGTGCAGGGATCCCCATCTGAGTTGCTTTTGCGTTGCAACCGCGCCCACTGTCGCAGCATGGTAGACATTGCCCGAAACCCTGCTCCTGCACGTGCTGTGGCCGTTTGCAACGTGGATTCTCTGCTCAGAATAGGTCTTGCGGACACGTGCCCGCCAGAGGCAGTATACTCCCCGTAAGAAGATCCTGCGGAGTTGGTGTTTGTAGGAGGTACAGGGTCGCCCTAGTACAAGCAGAGAGATGTATAAGAGCCCGAAGTTGAGTTTACATGTACCATATCGTGCGTGATAGGTTGCTCAACTGTAGTTCGGGGGCCCACCCTGCATGACATGTTGGGGTTTAGGGTTTAGGGTTTAGGGTTTAGGGTTTAGGGTTTAGGGCTTTCAGCACTGACGTGAGCCCACACTTGTTCTGACTCGTAGAACGTGTCTCGGCTCGTGACCGGGTTGCTTGCCCTAAGGGTCCATGTACCTATGTAGTATATACTTGGGCCCTAAAGCTACTATATGGGAACCCCTTGAAGGCCCAAGTATATACTATATAGGTACACGGACCCTCCGGGTTGGCGTGTCCGAACCGAGGATGCGCGATTGAAACAGTATTGTCGCCCTGGGTCAGCATGTGTGTGCGTGATGGTGCTTCGACCATAAGGTGTTGCGTCGCAAGAGGTACGCAAGGAGCCTCAAAAACCCTGAGAGTTTTAAGTGGGCGGTCTTGTGGTGGGTTGGCCAGACTCACGCATGCTCACATGTGCCCTTGAGTTCTGCACCCCTGAAATCCTAAACCCCGAAACTACGAAAGTGCGTACAATTCTGCAGGCACACCAGCACCTTGTACCTAGTTAAGCCCGCCGACAGCCCTAAAGCGTGATATTTTAGGGTCTTGGGTGCATGTTTTAAGGTCTAGGGTGTAGGGCCTAGGTTGCTCTGAAGCAAGGTCCGCTGGCAAAGGGGGCGGGGGAGAGGCCCTGTCACTGAGATCTTTGGATTCAGGGTTGTCTTTATCGCCCGGTGGTGGGCCGGATCTTAGGGTTTAGGGCGTAGGGTTCAGGGTTTAGGGTTTAGGGTTTAGGGTTTAGGGTTTCTGGTGTAGGGTTTAGGGTGTAGGGTTTAGGGTTTAGGGTTTCTGGTGTAGGGTTTAGGGTTCAGGGTTCAGGGTTCAGGGTTTAGGGCGTAAGGGTTTAGGGACTATTATCTGGTTCCTGGGCTACCAAGCCGCAGCGCTGGTAGGGTCCCAAGTTGTGCTCTAGCAATGACAACTCAGATTCGAAGTTCCTCAACATGGGGTTTAGCGTTTCGGGTTTAGGGTTTAGGGCTTAGGGTTTAGGGTTTAGGGTTTAGGGGGTTAGGGTTTAGTAGAATGAGGGGAGGCCTGAATTGTAAGTTGGGAGGGTCATTCTCCGAGAATTTTTCCGCAAATCGCGATTGGAGGCAAGCACATGTAGCCCAAAGGTGCCGACGACTTGAGGTTGGGTTTATATTTCGAAGGTTTTTTCACAGGACGCTCAAAATTTACACTTACACACCAATACGTTCTGTAAGGAGCCATATACACTCACCGAGCAGCAATGTAAATGCCCTACTTCGTATGGCTTGTAGAATCCTGGCACGCCCACTGGCCGACTCCTCAAAACATAGCGGCCTGAACACCCGAAAAGGCTCAAACGAGGCGTATCAGAGCCCCCTAGACATACAGAGAACAAAAGCGAGAGCACACACACCCGAAATCATAGACACCCTAAACCCTAAACCCTAAACCCTAAACCCTCAACCCTAAACCGTAAACCCTAAACCCTGCAGGCGACTCGACTCAATCTGAAGAAGCCTTTCAAGCGACCCCGCAGCCAGGGCAACCCGCAACCGCGATTCTGCCCCTTCTGCGGTGGAGAGTCGGGGCCGTAGGGTTCAGCGTTCAGAGTTCAGGGTTTAGGGTCTTGGGTTTAGGGTTTAGGGTTTAGGGTTTAGGGTTTAGGGTTTAGGGTTTAGGGTTTAGGGTTTAGGGTTTAGGGTTTAGGGTTTAGGGTTTAGGGTTTAGGGTTTAGGGTTTAGGGTTTAGGAAGGCCAAAACAAGGGGAATCCCTCAGTCCCAATGCTAAGAGTGCTAAGCCGCATTGTTTGGCGTTGGTAGTTTACCAACCCCTTCCCCCAAAAAACAATCAAAACACACAATAAACCCTAAACCCTAAACCCTAAAGAAGTAAAAATCTCACCCAACAGCCAATGGCCTAGTTACGCCCGTTATATTCTGGGGGTGCAAGAGCTCCTAGACGAGTCGAGTCATGGTTCTTGAGATGCGAACCAGGAGAACTGTTTCCTCGTGCCTAAACCCTAAACCCTAAATCCTAAACCCTAAACCCTAAATAAGTAGGCGTTGGCCTGAGAGACCTTAGAGGCTTGCAGGTCTAGAGCCAAGCCGGGGCGAACTTTTTACTTAGCTGCTGTGTGGTCCAAGTGAAGCAGGGCTTTGGGGCCTGGGCGCAGGGCCCCTGTAACTCGGGGCCAAGGCCCCCCTATAGGGCTTGGGAAACCCCTGAAAGCCTAGACGACGCAATGGATTTCGGGATTCGACTCTTTAAGGTCTTTGCCGTACGTGTCGTTGTTCCGGCCTGAGGACCAAGCCCGATTTCAAGTTCTGCCAGTTCTGCGGGGCCTCCCTTTCTTTCGGCGGTGCCGTTGCCGCAGTCATGGGTAGACCAACTTGGAGACTCTTTTGGGTAGTTGTAAGTAGGGTTACAAGTACCCTAAACGGGATTACTAGTATAGTTTCCATACTTACAACCCTACTTCTGACGACCCAAATGAACTTCCAAGAAAGGCTTTAGGAGCTACGGTTAGCCCCTTGAGATCCCGGTACAGCGATACTGGTTTGAAACGGGGAAGTATGGGGGCCTACCACAATCATTAGGGGCTTAGGGTTCAGGGTGTAGGGTTAAGTTTGCCTTTTAAATATACATCTAAATATGTATGTATGTATAATATATATATATATATATATACTCATGACATATTCATTCATATAGAGTTGCAACTGTAGGTCTTCAAGGAGCTATTGCCAAATGGACGCCTAACGTGGGGCGCAATCAATTAGGGGTTTCAGGGGTTCGGGGCTTCCGAGTTCCCGGGTTTACCTGGAGCAAGCTTCAATCACTCCATCCCCACAAATTTCGAATTTAGGATTGAGTATGCCTAACCGTTGCTTCGCAGCCCCAGACCAAAGTCCATTTCATTCATTGCAAACATCCACAGCCCTTGGATCCTACAATTTGGAGCCACCTTCCCATACCAAGTAGAGTCAAGGGAGGCACACAACCTATATCGTATATACTTTGGCCTTAAAGGGGTTCCCATATCGTAGCTTTAGGGCCCAAGTATATACTATACAGGTACATGGACCCTTAGGGGTTGGTTCAAATTGACATATCACATACTAGTGGGCCTTTGTAACTTAGACTGTATTTTGCTTATTGATACGGGCTTTTTCATGGTACGGCGATTGGTTCGTCTAACTCATGCACCCATCCGTGGCACCTTAACAGATTCTGTAATGGATGGATGCCCCCCCCCCCCCCCCCGCCCCCGCCCAAGACAGGCTTAGGGTTTAAGGTTCAGGGTTTAGGGTTTAGGGCTTCGGGTTTCGGGTTTAGGGTAGGTTCCTTACGATGGGAAGCTTCTGGAGGGCTTTGGGGTTCGCGCACCTTGCGTTTAGGCTTGTGGCTTTGGGGTGTCTTCAGCCGCCGACCCCATCAGAATGGAAGGATCTGAGGGGTTTGGAAAGACTACACGTTGAATTGCAAGATCAGTTGATCAAAGAAACCTGAACTCACCTGAGACCCTCAGAGTAAGGGTTTAGGTTTTAGGGCTTAGGGGCTTAGGGTTTCCCTCAACCCCGGCTACAGACGCCTAGACCTAAAGCCTACGAATCCTCCAGGCAAGCCGGCGTGAGAGCTGGTCACTCAGCTTGTCCGCCTCAGGGTGTACCAGGGGCCCTACACCCCTAAACCCTCAACCCCTAAACCTCCAAACCCTAAAACCCCAAACCCCTAATTAAACAAGGCCCTACACCCCTAAACCCTCCACCCCACCACCCCACCCCTAAACCCCTAAACCCCTAAACCCCTAAGCCCCTAAACCCCTAAACCCCTAAACCCTAAACCCGAAAAATCCCAAACCCAAACAATTACCCTAAACCCTGCGGTTTTTGCAGCACTTAAGGACTCATGAGACGAACTATTAATTCGACTATATTGTTGTGTGTGTGTCTCCTGTCACGACCTCAGGTAGTCTCCTTAAGGGGTGTGGGGCTCTTGTAGTCAGGAGCGGCTGACTTGAGTTATGATGCTAGAAGCCCAAACCGGGGGGGAAGGGGGGGGGGGGGGCTTACGACTTGCTTCCTTGTAGATTTTGTTTTTTTTGCCGGGTGGGGTGGGGGAGGGTAGGGGGGGAATGGGGGGGTGGGTACTACAGCAAGCAACTTGGTCATGGCCATATACCCTAACCCCGAAATCCTGGACTCTTGCAGCTCGCCGCTATACTTGTAGCTTCATGGTACTTACTAACCCATTATAACTGTACTTGTAACTGTACTTAAACCCAGATTAGGGCACTTAAGGGCGTATAAGTGGGTAAGTACAGTTATAATTGGTTAGTAATTACCATGAACCTCCAAGTACTCTCAGTAAGGTGGCCAGCAGGGCAGGACACAGGCTGGCCTGGTGCTTCTTTGAGAGTCCAGAGTTGATCTGGGGGTTAACGAAAAGAAGGGCACAATGATATGGACCCCCAAATAGTAGGATTCCCTTGCAACAGGGCCCCGAAGAAGGTACCTGTAATTTCGGAGACCCCCCGCTTTTTGTAGTTCAGTTTTTCTTGTTAATCGGGCGCGACTCTAGACGTGCATGCTGCCATAATATGCATGTGTGTTAGCATAGCTACATGATAACTACATCACTACACAAATCGTGGGTACCTCCTCGCTTATCTAGTTACAGCTACCTACCAGTTGCATGCAACCTGGTCTGTCTGCCACCCCACCTCTACAGCTCCTCGCCTCCCCACTTCCCCCTTTTGCTACCGACAGAACTAATGCATGCACACATGCACACGCAGTGCATGGGCATCCATGCCAACATTCACATGCATGTGTGCGCGCCCGCACATGCTGGTCACACATGCAAGATGTACATCCGAGGCCAGCACACGGACAGGCAGGCGGAAAGGCATAGTATTGGGGTCGGAGAAAAGACTAAGAATAATCCCTTACGGTCCCTACATAACTATGCTATCATAACCCCCCCCCCCCCTCAGAAAAAAAACATAAAAAAACAACACAAAACAACAATAAGAATAACTATTCGATCTACATTGCACGCGCAGCCATGTGCAAGCTGCTATGGTCACCACTCGAGCTTTGCCTCGAAAACGTCTAAGGGTCCACAAGGAGCGAAGCAAAGATCTTGAATCCAAGAAGCCATGCCACACAGCTTTCACGAGCTGGTGCACATTGGGGTTTAGGGTTTAGGGTTTAGGGTTTAGGGTTTAGGGTTCAGGGTTTAGGTTTAGGGTTTGTGGTTTGGAGTTTGGGGGTTAGGGTTTAGGGTTTAGGCTTCCTGAAAATTTCAATCACCAAGACAGCCACTGAGCACAGGGAAAATAGGCAGCAGTCCAAGCATGCTGAGCCCAAGGAGGACCCTAGGTATATGCCGGGGCCTCGGGCTTAGGGTTTTGGACGGTTCAGGGTTTAGGGTTTGGGGCAATCATGATTATTGCGGCGTTCGCATACCAAGCCCCCTGCCAAAGACTCAAAACACCAGCCCCCCCCCCCCCCCCCCCCCCCCCTACGGGCCGGCCGAATGCCATGGCTGACACCCTCCACGCTGCAATTAGCGCTGGCGGTGCCCCACAGCGTGTGGCCACTTGGGAGTTCGTACGTTTATTGAGCTCTAGTTAGGGGTTTAGGGTTGAGGGTTGAGGGTTGAGGGCTGTTTTTTTGGGATCCCCGAGCTCATTGAAGGCGTTGATGTTTGGGGTTTTTCGTCCACTGACAAAAACGAAGTTAAGCGACAAGAGGTCCCTTTTCAGTCCTGGCCGAAGGGACCTAGTTGAGCGTTGGAGATTCACCGGATTTTGTGGAATAGACCTGCTTTGCCCTAAACAAAGCCTAAATATGGATCTTATGACTACTTGTGATGCATGTTGGGGTAGCAAAAGGGTTTATTATGGGCTCTAGGCTGGCTTTCGCGGTATGCTGCTTAAAGGGTTTGTGTTGCAGAGCTTAGCTACGCAGATGCATTCGGAAATTTCGGTGTTTTCGTGACCCCTTTGAGTACCTATACAGGAACCCCTAAAAACACAACAAAAGCCTAACAACTACGGGTTGGCACCTCCTTGTAGGAGCTCACAGCGAATTATTGCTCTTGAACTGCAGATTCTGCCTCGGGTTTCCGTCTCAGGGCTTTGGGAACTAGGGTTTAGGGTTTAGGGTTTAGGGTTTAGGCCTTAGGCCCAGCCCACCCTTCCCTGCAAGCAAGGGTCCAGCATGTTTATGCCCACTCAACTCCTCCAGCTGGCTACCAAGCCATGCAGCAAAGTAGCAAAAAACAGCATCCTTTGTCCATCTTCGTGTTCAGGCTTACAATTAGGGCGTCGGCTTTTGTGAGTTTAGGGTTTAAGCTGCGGATCTCGGCTGCAGGTTTTGCCGAAATTTGGTCTGAAGTTTTGCACACTAAACCTTATAAACGCTTCAGGAGCTTGCCCTCCAGAGCGATCCAAGCGCATGCGTCTTCGGCTGGAGCGAGGGGTTTATAGTTCAGTTCAGGGCTTAGGATTCACGGTTCAGGGTTTATAAGGTTTGGAGTTCATCGGCATTCAGGGCTTAGGGGTTCCGGTGTTAGGGGGTTCGGGATATTTAGGGGTTCAGGGATTTCGAGCTAAGGGGTCAGGTTGTTCCACGTTTAGGGTTTACAAGGTTTAGCGTCCATTGTCCTCTTCTTTAGCAGAAGATCAATCCGATTGAAGGGTTCTAGCGCAGGGAATCAGTGGTTTATAGGGCTTGGGGCCGCAGATTCTAAGGTGTTAGGGGTTCAGGGATCGAAGACCTGAGGCCCATCCGTAGATGTACGGCAGGTGGACAACATCGTGGATGATCCGCGATAAGGCCTACCGAAGGTATGAAAGTCCTAACCCTAAACCCTACTTGGAGGTTCAGGGGATTTAGTAACTACTTATAACTGGGCTTATAACCTTATAAGTAGGGTTATAAGCCCAGTTATAAGTAGTTTCTAAGTCCCATGAATCTCCAAGTAAACCCTAAACACTAATTAAACCCTAAACTTCTACTTCCTGTTCCTCGGCCTTGCTAGGCACGGTACCGACCGTGAGCACCTTGTAACCTTCAATACACCGATCCCTCCATATGGGGGGTTCACGAAAACAAGGGGTACCTTATTGGTGTTTTTTTTGTATGGGAATCCTACTAGGGAGAGGGCCTATACTAAGGGTCCCTTTATTTTCGTAAGCCCCCATATCAAACCCAGGCTCCAGCATCGACTCTCGCACTGGCGAGCTGCTCTGGCTGGGATTATGGGGGGGTTGCAGAGGTTTGTCGGGCTGCAGGTTTATAGGGTTTAGGGTTTAGTGTTTAGGGTTATAGGTCACGAGGTTGGTGGTTTACCGAGGTTCAGTAGGAGTTTGTAGGGGTTTACAGGGGCTTAGGGTGTACACGGTCGTGGGGTTTAAGGCTGAGGCTCTGTGCGGGCTTTCACGGTTATTAGGGTTTAGGGCTTAGGATTTAGGATGAATTTAGGGTTCTTCTGATTTCGGGTCGCTTCCTGTTTTTTTTGTTTACGGGCCAGGGCTATACAGAGCTTCGGGTTGTTTACGTCCTTCTTGGGGTCACTCTTTACGGGACTGGCCCCCCCCTGCAAATGTTTTTTTGGGGGGGAGGGGGGGGGTGCTGAGTCATCGTACAATACCAAGGAGATGCTAACGGATTCTCCCCCAAGACCATTCTTACAGCTTGGCTTGAAAGACAAACCCTGAGCCCTAAGCCTTATATAAGCCGGGCGTACGGGTTTAGGAAGATTAGAAGATTAGGGTCTTGCAGTCGCCATCAACGTGCAGCCTACACGCTAAACCCCCAAGAGCCCAATACCCTTTAAGGAAGGAATGTATACTTTAGCTTGAATCATCATAAGGACCCCTGCATAGTTCAATGTCTGTTCGTTGAGAAGGACGGAAACCCTAAACCCTAAGCCCTAAACCCTAAACCCGTTTAGGGGTTTAGGGGTTTAGGGGTTTAGGGGTTTAGGGGTTTAGGGGTTTAGGGGTTTAGGGGTTTAGGGGTTTAGGGGTTTAGGGGTTTAGGGGTTTAGGGTTTAGGGACCAGCCCAGGACCCCTTTGCACCTGGCGGCGCGGCTGGGGCAGGCCCCCTGCACGCCACGACTTTGTGCTAAGGCCCCAAATCCTCAAGGTTTAGGGTTTAGGCTTTAGAGTTTACGGTTTAGGGTTTAGGGCCCCCAAATCCTTAACCCCAAACACTAACCCTAAGGGTCCATGTACCTATAAAGTATATACTTGGGCCCTAAATAAGCTACTATATGGGAACCCCCCTTTAAGGCCCAAGTATAAACTCTATAGGTACATGGACCCTTAGGGTAAGTAAGCCTACGCCCTGAACCCAAACCCCTGACCGCCAAATCCCTGTTGCTGAGGGTTTCAGATCACCCCTTAAAACAAAAGCGGACACGCTTCATTCATACTAGGGTAGTTATCTATATTAGGCTCCCTTTTGGGGGTTCCTTTTTAAAGGGCACCGCCTTATAATGGGTACATAAAAGGGATCCTAATTTAGAGAACTACCCAAATATTATACTCAGGTTACTGAGCAGCCTAGGTTTGGGGCCTTCTCTGAAGCATTGCAGCTCAGGGTCATGGGCGAAAGTGG